TCTATCTTCCGTATCTTACTCTGATGCTCCTAACCGCTCTATATCTCCCTTCACTTGTTTCACAATTTTTGTCATGGTCTTCCTTTTAGTCTTCTTCCTTCAGGGTTCCTCATTACTACTTGTTTTAAATCTCCTCCTCTTATCAAAACGTGCCCAGACCATCTGATCCTTTAAGTTTAAGTGAAGTGAAACTATTAAACTATTAGATATTTATGGTATTAAAATATCTGTTGAATACAGTTGTTGTATGGATGAAGAAAACATCTGTTTAAACTATCTAACTATAAAACCAAAGACAACTTCATTTTGTAATTGCTATGTAAACAAATGTTCAGAAAATTAAAATCATGTCTGCATTGCAAAATTAGTTTGTAATATACAAGAACAGAATGCTCTGGAAATAAAGTTCAGAGCAAAGGTCTTACGGTGGAAACAATATTTGAAAATTGTCTATTGCCCTTATCAAAGTTCTAGTTTAAGGTTAAGTTTGTATTTGTGTTTAAAACTATTAATTACAAATTGAGCTGATATTGTAAATATTTAAGTATAAAAAACTAAAATTTCTGAAAGATGTTTTGTGTTTTAATGATTCAATCCTGTAAAGGTATCACTACTAAACAATAGGCCTACTTCATTTTTTAGATGTTTAAGTGTAGATATCCTAACTCCTATGATATGTTAAGATTAACTGATAACATACTAATGTTGGTAAATTATCTTATACCATTGACCTAGCAAGAAATGCATGAGCACCATAGGTTTCTAAGCAACACAGAAATGTTTTAGCAGATTTCTAGTGTAGGGAATGCTATTACCAAAGGCGCAGATCACAACAGATGTTAAGTAAATATTAATATTTAGGTATTGCGTCTTAAAACGCCATCAAGTTACCATTTAAAGCAATAAATTTCAGGTCACTTACTATTTTGTTCAAGCTCAAGGGGAATTCCTTGTAATACACATATTTTCCAGGTAATATTAAAGGAGTAACTTTTGGTCCTACAAATGATCCTTTTAAGTGTCAGTTTAAAACATTTAGGTTCAATTATAATTGTTATATATTTTAATGCTGAGGGTCTTATCTTATCTTATCTAACAGGGGCAGGTCGAGACCTTAAAGCACTTCATCCGAAATCGAATTATTGCGCACCCCAGACAATTGCTTTCTTGTTGACCTACAAGTTAAGGCGCCCAATGAATGCCTGTAGCTTCCCAATTAGTTCATCCTCAGGAAGGTATCTACCTCTAGCCATATTACCAAGAGTTATCAGTCTAGCGTCAGAGAGCTCGTTACAATCAAAGAGTAAGTGATCAGCTGTCTCTTCTGACCTATCACAGTACCTACAGATCGGTTCACCATCATACAGGGTGAATAAAAAGTCAAGACCCACCCATCTAATTTTTTCCCAAGTAAATATACAGAGATATCCTTTTGGTGGTCGAGCAATCTTAGCAGGAAGTTTCATTTTATCCCAAAAGGGGGGATTTGGGGGGCAACTCAAATATTTTAAATGTAAACCCCCTTCAAGAGACACCTCATTTTGAAGTGTTTACAAAAACTTAAAGAATAGTGAAAACCAGAGCTCGCTATCTCTTCTCTATCCAAAATGGCAGCCAATATTAACAATTTTACCGTTGATTTTCCACAACATTTGACGGGCTACCATTTTGGATAGAGAAGAGATAGCGACCTCTAGTTTTCACCATCATTTAAGTTTTTGTAAGCACTACAAAATGAGGTGTCACTTGAAGGGGGTTTACATTTAAAATATTTGAGTTGCCCCTCGAATCCCCCCTTTTGGGGGGACACTCAAAAATTTCAAAATGATAAAATGAAACTTCCTGCTAAGATTGCTCGACCACCAAAAGGATATCTCTGTATATTTACTTGGGAAAATATTAGATGGGGGGGGGGTCTTGACTTTTTATTCACCCTGTATATGCCCATCCGTTGTAAATGTTTCCTGAATCTTCCATGACCAGTTATCAGTTCAACAGTTAATTTAATTCTTCGTCTGTCTAGTCTCAAGAGGTCAGAGGCGACCTTTTAGGGTTTGAGCAGATCAAAATGTGAGTGACTTATTAAAATTTTGAATTTGAATAAATTATGAACTCCACGAAACTCAAAGTAAATACTTGAGGGCAAAGTTGATGTAAATAAACTTAGATGGCTTAGCTAAGTTTACATGGTGTATAACGTACATATGTTAGACATGATTTCAACAAAGATCGAGATTCTTGTGAGAGCAGGCCGGGGGTTTGCATTTGATGGACCTATGGACCCGAAAGATAATTTTGCCCCTCTCCACCTATCTTGTGGCGGGATTTTTGTGTTCCTTGCGCCCCCAAAAAACCTTAACCTCTTGCGCTCCTGAAAATTACCTAATTAAAGCAGACCTGTATGAGAGTTGTGATAGTGATATATTTACTGTAGCTAATGTATACAAAATCTATGTTCCAAATCTCCAAATCTAATGTTTATGTTGACCAAATCTAACTATAGACCACCAAACATCCAGTGGAGAGATAATTTTCCTACAATTTGAACTTTGTGCTGTTTATTGATGGCAACTTTAACACCTTGACTGCTGAAAACCTTTACACAGGCGCTCCTAAACTGCGGCGAGGCCCGGGCGTGCTACTGAATCGGCGGTTGCTATTGGCACAGAAATATCCCAATAAGACGAATCACAAAAGAGCATTGGTGATTGTTCTGCGTTGCCCCAAAAGTAGACATATTTCACTGAAACACCCAAAGGTAGCAGCACTGCCTGGATCAATAACCAGAGTCTTTGTAATATGGCTCAAATAGAGAAAATCCCCGAAAAGAGGACAAAAGCAATGCCAGACGGGATTTTACGGGAATGTTTAGTATACCCAAACCCAGGGCCTCTTTAGTAAATTGTCTCATTGGGCCTGAGCCCAGGGACGCAAGAGGGCGCAAGGGAAGGGGCGTAGGGAGGGGGGGGGGAGATATCACTCGAGCCCATGGCTTGTCACATTCTAACCACAGGCCCTCCAAAACCCATCTTCAATGAAAGAAAAAAAGGAGAACTTACAATAATTACCACCAGGATTAAAATTACTAGTATAAATCGTCTCAATTAGGATATTGAGTAGGGAGAGTAGTGCGAGAGACAGAACTTTTACCCAAAACTCTTCTTATTCTCTGAATATGAATTATAACTGACATACTGGTCATTTCTTAGATGGCTGAACAAAAACAATGGTTGTGGGGGAAGAGTTCTAATGTGCATGCGCATCCTACTCGCCAATCAAAATGATTCGATCTATTTGACACATCCAACACATTAGCTGGCATTAAGAACAGTAAGGATTCTATTGTATATTAACCTCTCCAACATAGTAAAACAAACACTTAGAAGGGCAAAATGGCAGTAGCTTTCAAGCGGACTTTTCCTTTTCGAAGAGCAATACAGTTTTTGCAACAGAATTTTCATTCCCTTAATAAATATACTAATAGATTCATTACATCAAATCACTAGATAGGTAACCACACTGAATGTCCTGGCTGTTAACACATTGACTGCGGCCTACTGCCTACTGCTACAGCAGTAGCGCGGCACTAGCACTGCTCGCAGCCTACTGCTGTATCAGTAGTGTGCTCGCCTGCCAAATATTGTGTCTGTCTGAGCCCAGCTCTCGACCGGCGACAATGTGATTGTTGCCAGGCTGTAGCTTAGAATACGAGCTTTATTTTGGAGTAGGTTGGTAGATGGTAACCTCTGTTGCTTTTATTGATCTAGATATTGTCTGGGATTGCCTGGGGCGCAAGGAGGAAAGAAATCTATTTTATGTAAGGTAGGATGAGAGGGGCACAATCATCTCTTGGGCCCACATCACATGCAAACCGCGTGCCTGAGCTGACTTTTCCCACAGAAATAGTTAGATTTCATCGAGGGATTCTTTTCAAGGTGGGAATAGCTTCTTAAAATACGACCCAACTGCAAATGAAGGTGAAAACAACAACCTCAGAAGAAATAGGTTTACAAACTAGGGTAGGTAATTTCAACCGTTGGAAGTTTAAATGAAGACAGACATCTGATTGAGTGATACGTCCTGCTTTCTAATGGTTTCCCAAAAAAATGTTTTTTTCTACATAACACAAACTATGCGGGGGTTCAATGGTCTATCAATTTTAATTTAGCTCTGTGCTGGGGGATTTTGTTCACATGTACAGTATAGGCTACATTTACTTGTATTGTATTTCATAAGACTTTGTAGTCTCTTTCTTTAGACTAGTAGGCTGCAATTAGTATTCATTTTGTTACTCTGCAAGTTGACAATCAAAGCCATACAATTTAAAGTAATTTACTCCAGATCATTACCAAAAGGCCCTGGTTGACTTCCAATCAAAAAAAATATTTAGTAAGTTACTTATCATAAATTTAATAAAGTACTTCAGTGATTTTCCAAAATACTATACTCCCTTTTATGATCAGCAGAGGCAGTTGTTCATCAAGTATTTGAGATAAAAACAAAGTAGTATACATTTTCACCAAATTGGAAAGGTTCTGTTTTTTATCCATTCTAATAAAACTAAAATTGCAAAACTATAAGGATTACCGTATGATATTTATTAATATATGTTATAAGTTAAGTCAAAAGATGATAAATGTATTATCTGAGATAAAGTAACCAATATATACATATACTGTGCAATATAATAACATTGAATTATACTTGGAAACAACTAGCTCAACACTGTACAAAATGACATTGTACAGGTACTGAAAGAAATCATGTTTGAATGGAACCCAAAATGAAGTGCGGTGGAGAGTTTGAACTTAAATTTACAGTGAGAAACCTTAAAGTGAGGAAGATGCCCAAAGGAAATACAGAAGATTCACTATGACTCGGGGACAATGTAAGAATTTGTAAATGAATTACCAACTAAAATGGATGTTTATGTAAAAAAATAATTTACCGTGAGTTTTACAAGACACTATGAGATAGTAAGAGGCTGATTGGTTTTGCAGGTGCCAGGGCATTCTCGACCCATTTCACTAAGTGAACTCCTTTTTGGCTCAGAACCGACAAAAGCTCCAGAGAAAACTACCAAGGCTCCAACTAAAACTACTGTAAAACCTTCAACAACACAAGCTACTTCTCCACCTAGTACAAATCCCACAACAACAACAACAACTCCAGCTCCTCAGACAACAGTTCCAACAACTGCACCTCCGATAAGTCCACCGACTCAAAAATCAGACGATGTGGATGAGAATGATTCAGAAGAGGATGACTCCAGTTCAGAAGAAGATTCAAGTGAAGAGGATGATAGTAATGAAAAAGAAGATTCCACAACCGAAGCCCCAACTACTACCACTACCGAAGAACCAACAACAACGACAACAGAAGAACCTACAACAACAACAGAAGAACCAACAACAACAGAAGAACCAACAACAACAGAAGAACCAACAACAACAGAAGAACCAATAACAACAACCGAGGAAGTCACAACAACTGAACTAAACCTTCCACCAGGAATGTGTTTATGTCCTTGTGCTACAACTCCTCCCCCAGAAACAACAGAATCTAATACATGTGCGCCATGTTCAGAAGAAACCACAACTCCTGAACCTATGGAACCCCCAACTACAACTCCTCCACCTGTTTTGACAACAACTCCACTTCCCGATACAACAGAGGAAACAACTGAACTAACAACAACAATAGAACCTCCACCAACATCTGAGCCGGAAACCACAACAGAAGAACCTACAACTACTCCTGAACCAACAACAACAACAGAAGAGCCTACAACTACTCCTGAACCAACAACAACAACAGAGGAGCCCACAACTACTCCTGAACCAACAACCACAGAAGAGCCAACAACAACCACGGAAGAACCTACAACAACCACGGAAGAACCTACAACAACCACAGAAGAACCTACAACAACCACGGACGAACCTACAACAACCACAGAAGAACCTACAACTACCGAAGAGGCTGAAGAACCTTCAACAACCACAGAGCGCTCTCAAACAGAAGAAAATACGACTACTGCACGCCCTACAACCACTAAAGCACCAACAACTAAAGCACCAACAACTAAAGCACCAACTACTAAAGCACCAACTACTAAACCTCCACCCACAACCACAAAGCCTACCGCTGCATCAAAATCTAGAACTACTTTATCAGCCGCTGAAAAATTTAAAGCCGGTCAGGTATCTGGAACTGGTGTTGGTAAATATGCTGAATAGTTGATTTCTTGTAAACAACCAGCTGACTCCATGCTAGCCTTTGCTCCAGCTCCCTTGCCTCTGGAGATAGATTATAAAACTTTGAATCTAAGATCTACAAGCGAAAACGAAGCCGAAACTTCAACCGACTTCCTTCTCACCGAATGGAAATTAGGTTAGTCTAAAGTATTGAACATTTTGTTTAAGTTATATTATAAAATTATGGTATTTCAGAGAGAATATAACTCACTGCATAGCAAGATTGCTTATGTTTCTGAAGCGTTATTAGCATTATATACCAATGCTAAAAATCTTCCTTTATGTTGCAGACTCAACAATTTTTAAGGACACTAATCACTATACCTATAAACAGTAATGCTTGTATTGCCTAGAAACTGAAGATAGTAAGAGGCTGGTTGATTTTTCAGGTGCCTGATCACAATACTTCTTACGATAACTGAGTCGATTTTTGGAAATGATCCTACCAAAACCAACGACTTCATCTCTAATTACTGTATTCTGGGAGATGACACAACTTCAAAAACTGTGACTCCATCCATAGAAAAGATCTGATTGATACTGAAGATTCACAACGAAGCAACTCATACACCAACTGATCCATTCCAGGAAGAATGATTGAACTTTTTCTGCGAATGCAATTGATTTTTCTTCGATGTCATATTCATCAGTGTCAAAATATCTTTTAATAGAATGGAATGAAAAGACTGATTATTTTATGTTTTGAAGTAAAAAATTATTATTATATTGCATCTGAGCTATGTAGTAAATTATTATCACTGTATAATTAATTAGTGTACCAAAATATTCAGATACAAAACCTTGTAAAATACTTTAGTCTCATTACTCCTAACACGCTGACTACTCTTGTCTTTAAGCTGCTGATGATTAATTTATCTTTTTATTTAAATTTTGAACACTTATAAAATTTTCCACCAAGATATACTCAAGGTGAGTTGGAATGAGTTCAATCTCCACTATTTTTTACATTTCATATTATATCAACCCCAAGCTCCCAATTACCATTGATTGATGACCGTTCGACGTAGTTCTCACTTTCAGCCCCCAGCTTGGGTTACTCCTTTTCTTATCAGAACAGGGTTACGACACATAATTTGTATGTAGAAATTTTAAAAATAAAGTGTAGTCAACAACTATGGTTGGTAGGCCTAGTTATCAAATCACCCTCTATTGCAAATATTGGTTGTGAATATTATAAGAGGTGATATTTTTACATAAAAAAAAAAAAAAACAGAAAGAACTTTCCGTAAATTACTTTTATTGACATTACCAAACACAATAGCTAGTGCTTGGGCTGAAATTGCAGACATTGCTGGTTCTACACTGGTTACCCGCTTTCTTATAACTGCCTTCACTTCTTGTTTGATCATGTGTCAAACCGTTCACTGCCTTTAGTTAACAGCACAGACTAGTTGCTCTTAAAAAAATAACAATAAAACACTACTTCTTGACCCTCCGCTGGAAAACTGTGCATCACGACTCCTTCTCAAAACTTGATACTTAATAGTTTATGTTTATGAGATGGATACACATAATTTGTCAATGGAATAGGGCAATTATTGACCAGTATCGTAAAAAGCAAATCAAAATTGTTAGTTTTCAGTATTTCTGACTTAACTACTTGATCAAACATTTTTGTTGCCTAAAATAGGTTAAATTACTCAACTGAAGATAAAGATTTCCCCCCTATATTTCCTTGCAGTAAAGCCATTGCAAGATCAACATCTGCCTGACCTATGGGAAGATGGGAGAAAAATCTGAAATATTTATTGTAACATAATATTTGAGTTATGTGGGTTGACAAAGTAATAAATAATCATACGTATACTCAAAATATGGTATACAGGGTTGCTGTGATTTTTGATCGAGACTTTGAATACAATTTTCACAGCATTGTCATAAAACGATTCAATGCTACATAAAAAAGTAATATTTATTGAGACAGATGAAAGATCCAGAAAATATATGATGGTTCAGGAAAACAACTAAACTTAATCAGCTAAAACTCTCATTATAATGTTAAGACAAAATTTTACAACTATCTTCTGTGGACTGTAGAGAATGAAGAAAACTCATGAAAATCAACTAATTTTTTGGCTATTTAGAAGATTATATCTAAAAGTCAAATTCCAACAAATAGATCCTCAGTTTTTCTTTTTAACTACATAACATTTGGTTTTTGCATTACTCTAAACAGAATAATAACCACACTTAAAAGGCATATTCAAAAGAAAGAACAAACATATTCTGTTTGTTGAACTATGGACTAACAGTGAACAAAATGACATAATTTACTAATTTATTTTGCTTAACTTGCATTAAAAGCACCATACAATTACAACACTTCACTGGTTAAGCACACACAGTAGGCCCTAATGATAAAGTAAATTTGCAGAACACCATAATAAAAAGTGTGCAATTCTCTCAGAATCAACATTTCCATCAACTTCCACACCTAAGCCTTCTTTATTTGTTGGATTTTACCTTCAGTGGAGTAGTGAGTTGGGGACGATTAGAAACAGTGTTACCACTCTGCTTTCCCCAAATATCCTATATAATGGGTGAGGCAGTGAGAGCACCCCGATTTTCTTTCATTGTCACATTATAAGTAAGCAACAATGAATAAACAGCTGTGCTTATAACATCAATTAAACCATGCCATTAAAAAAAAAAAAAAAAAAAAAAAAAAAAAATTGAGCCTGAGACGACACTGTAGCCTAAGCATTGTACACTGAGATTTTTATGTGCAAACCTATTTATAGAATTGTAATTCTTGTGCAAACACCCAGAGATTGTTTGGACCACATTCCATCCTTGGTCAACATGGCACTGTTCCAGATCGGAAAGCGATAGGGAACTGGGTAAAATTATTGATGATAACAGCTTAAACCATAAAAATTATCGGTGGGTGTTGCAAAAGTCTTTGTACACCAGCAAATGTCGAAAGAGTGTGATTCACAGTAACCCGAAGTCCAAAGAGGTTTGCCAGGAAGCTTTCGTTGTTGGAAGCTTTGGCTCTTTGCTTTCTTTGGGGGTTCTCCCTGTAAGCTACTTAAAGTTTAAGGGTTTTTAAAGTTGCTCTAGAGATTTGCTTGAACTGAAGCTAAGAATTGTCCAGGAAAAGAGATTCCTGAAGAAATGCTGGAACAAGTATTCAATGGAATTTTTCAAGTGACCAAAAAGGAATGTCAAGTAGGACAAGCACGTCACTTGAAGGATTTTGTTTTCAAGACTTTGTTAAGTTAAAATGGCAAGATAAGCTATGTTTTGATGTGCTATTTATATGTATAGGGTAAATAGTATTGAATTTATACTATTTATAAATTGGGGTGCTTTCATTGCCTCGCCCTGTATTGATAGGTAAACCCTGCTTTTTCTAAAAGAATGGCGAGCACAAAAACACTGGGAAATGTACGAGTACCACTGTTACACTTCAACTCTGCTGCTCATGAACTCCTTATGATGTAATCCTGAAGATTCATTGAGTGATGAGTCCTCTAGGGCTGTTTTAGAACTTGATTCCTTTCCTCTTCAACATTGGATTAATTACCTTATGGATTAATTTACCTTACCAAATGAGTCAGGTTTTAAATTCTTTATATGTGATGCTGAGGCTTTTGTAAGAGGATGTTTGTTAGCAAACATGCTTATCCAAAAGACTCAATGCTTTAACAATGCCAGTGAAAATCAAACTAAAATGTCCTAGTTCCAGCTTTCTTTTATGAGTTACAGCATTTTTCAGGACGGATTTCATCCGTTTTAATTCTGTTATGCTGGTGGATACTGTCGTTGGTTTTGGTGTTTTATGAGGCCAAAATACCTTAACAATAGGGTTAAAAGGTTTTGGGGCAAATGGCAAGCATATATTTAGTTTACATGTATTAGACATATTCTGATAACTGCTAGTAAAAGTATTTCATTCAAATCTGACAAGAGGCAAACTTGGATCAGTTGATCTGTTAAGATTTGGTTTATTTTTTGTTGTTATTGTGGTTTTATAAATAGATACTGATGTTAGCATTCATATTACAAATATAGCTGATTTAATTTATACATAAGATTTAGTGCATTGCCTCATTTTCTATTTTTTCCAAGAATATTTGCAAGTAGAATATTCTCAGTGAAACTAGGAAAAGAAATTATGATGTCTCTTTCAATTAATATTATTAATTTATTTAGTTAACTAAATCCATGGTAATCAAATATGAAGGGGATCAACATATTACAGACAGATTTATTTTTATAATATGAGGAGGAGAGAAATAGGGTGGCTGAGTTTATAAATAAGGGCAAATGGTCTTATAGCACGCTTGATTAAGTCTTTATAGTAGAAAACAAATTTGAAAATTGAAATATACAAAATAATACAGACGAGGCAATGTTGTAAAAAAATCACCAATTTTGATTTATGATAGATAATTTTTGCCTTATGAAATACATTATTGAATTAATTTTTAAAACCTATTTTTGGTTCATGTGTTTTATATAATTGGTAATTTAATACTTTTTGAATTAAGGTGGTAGCTTGAAACTTTCAAACAGGTAAAGTTGTTGTGTAGTAAATCATTTGAACAATTATGAATATCCAACGAATTCAGTTACACAAAACAAATCAATGTTCATGTTACCCAACAGTTTTCTGTAGTAATTCATAAACTACAAAATTGAAAATTGTGCATCCTTTAGAAAAAAAAATACATGAAATAATGCAGTAAAAAGTAAATTGATGATCATAAAAATAACAAAAGTCCTTGGTAAATGTATTAGAAAATAACCATACAACAAATATTAGGGGACTCAAAATATGTCAACAGCGGGAAAATTGAGTTTCTTTTTTTTCAGGCAACAACTTGTTTCCCTATACCCAACATTCTAGGAGACTTATTGTTTGGATCTGCGGATTCTTCTGACGAGTCACCCCCTCCTCCTACACCATCGCCAGCACCGAGAACAGCGAAGTCAGACCAAGGGCTCTTGGATGGGATAGGAGCAGCTTTAGGAACACTTTTGTTTGGGGCTCCATCTGAAGAAGAGGAAGGGCCAGTCACTGAACAGCCAACGGAAGCACCAACAACAACGGCAACAACAACAACTGAAGCTCCAACAACAACCACAACAACTACAGAACCTCCAACAACAACAACAACCACAACAACTACAGAGGCTCCAACAACCACAACAACTACAGAGGCTCCAACAACAACTACAACAACTACAGAACCTCCAACAACAACAACCACCAGCACAACAACAGAAGCTCCAACAACCACTACGACTGAAGTCCCAACGACAACTACAACGGAAGCTCCAACGACAACTACAACGACCAAAGCACCAACAACAAAAGCTCCAAAGCCTACTATTAAACCAACAACTAGCAAAACAACAAAAGCTCCAGTTCGTACCGGTTCAAAACAATCACAGAAAAACATTGGAACTCATAAAGGTAGCAAATATTCAGAGTGATAACATATACAATTTATAATTCAGGTTGTTTGTGTGAAAGATAAGTAGTAAAATTGGTACAGTACTAGCTAAGTGTATTTGTAAGATAATCATTGCAAAGTTCTTATCCCTGTACCGGTACCTTTATATATTACTCATGTTCATTTGAAGTCTAGCAACCAAGTGAAATGGATGATCAGTGGCTGATTTAAAAGACGGTTTTGACTTAGTTTAAAAATCACAGTTAAACTTAATATTTTTTAATCAGGGCTCATTTAAGATGACAATATACCATTATTAAATACAAATATTCCCTACGAGTTTCATTTAAATTAAATTCAAAATTGCATAGTATAAAATTGATAAAAATTTGAAAGATAAAATAGTGATAAAATAAAATGGATATAAAACTTGGTGAGTCTATGCAAAATGACTGGTTAAAATCCCACTTTAAATATATTTCATAATATGAGATGTAAACGCAAAGTTTTATTTGGTGTACTTTACAGTTTCAAAACTCAAAAGTTTACTCTTTTACTTGGTCAGTTTTTACTACTTTGGCAAAACAGATTATACTACTAGCATTGATTTAAGAGTTTCGACAACTTTAAGCTCTTTACAGTAGTTTTATTTTGCTAAACTTTAAAAATATACACATTAATTTTTCCTGTAAACAGATTATTTGAAACAAAGGACTTTGTGTTTGTATGATTGCTCAATGGATTGTTGTATTAAAATAGTATGTAGTAAACTAGTTTAAACACTTTTATCTATATCTTGCTACTCACAGAACAGTCTGATGATTTTATTTCTTTGGGTTTTTTGAAAACTAAAGTAACTTTAGAAAAAAAAAATTGTTCTTGATATAGAGAATTTTTTTATTAAAATGATATGATATTTCAAAATTGACTGAGGCTAAAAATCATGAGTAAATGTGATTACATGTGAAAAATCTTATTTTATGTTCTTTTATTGTTTAAACTGTTGTAAAATATTGTTTTAATGTTAACATTAGTGTTAAATGTTGTTTTACTGTTGAAATTGTTGTTAACATTCTGTTGTTAAACTCTTTGTTAAATGTTATTTTCCTGTTAAAATTGTTGATAGTTTTGTTTTTGTTAAAATATTTGTTAAATGTTGTTTTACTGTTGAAAATTTTGTTGAGTTTTATTTTGCTGTTAATTCTTGTATTGTTGTTAAAAATTTACTTTGAAAAATGTTATTATATGTTATTTAGTTTTTAAAATGTTATTTTACTATTACATGTTTTGGCAAAAGTTATTTCAGTGTTACAATTAATTGCTCAAATGTTTTAGATAAATTTTAATTTAACTGGTAATTCTTTTGAATTTGTTAACAATCAAAACAAAAGATTGATTTGTGAGAATATTTATAAGACAAATATCTTTAAGACTGATAACGAGAAAGGTGTACAAGAGCTTTGGATTATATATTCATTTTGCTGTGATTATTAAAATAAACTTGTGTCTATTTACTGTGTTATTTTCCTTTTGCACTCATAAAAAAAATGTTAGTTTAGACAATTGGTTTTAAAATTTGGCAGTGTTTGAGTTGGTAAATTAATAATATAATGGAATCAAAATGTTCTTTCGAAATTTCATTTTGTTGATAGTTCTAGGTAGTTTTTTCCAAGGAAGGTTTAATGAGACAGAATAAAATATTCAGTGCTTAATTTGAAACATTTTAGATTTAGGAAACTTATTTATGGCATATTTTAATTGTACTTCTCAATCCATTCCCACGACGCACATTACACATTTTTATTTTGCTCGAACTTGAATATGAATTTTGCTAAATGGATCAACTGTATATAAACGTTGAATATACTGAAACATTGCAAAAACATTCAGTCAAAAAATCTTGAAACTGCATGGAGTTTTAAGGTTCTCTAAAATGATGCATTTGACGAAGAATTTAGTTCAATTTTACCAACCAAAATAACATGTACATCAAAATCACTTGTTTTATGTTTACGAACTAAGTGAAAAATTACATTAACAAATTACAGTTTAATGCATTTTTCATAACACTTATTTATAGTTAAAAAAAAGCGCAAACTCTATGACTCAAAAATAAAATTGTTGACTCAAAAATAAAATTGTTAACGAAAAGAGCTTTAGAAGGTCTTGTAATAAAAATTTAAAATTGACTTATTAATATTTTTGAAGACAGCAGATAAGAAGTTTTTTAATAAAAAAAATTAGACTACGAAGACCTTAAGATGTAACATGTGTTTTGCCCTGCTTTAGACTTACTAATGTTAGATTAGATCCATTATACGATTGCTAGATTATGATTTAAAACAATGAACAAGTCTCTTGATGTTGTATACCTGTAATATATTACTTTTAAATTTAAACTGTTGATCATATTGTGATTGACCGCCAGAGCTGTTTGATATGATTTGGATACAATGCTTGTGACAAATCCTGACTTGTCTTTGTAGATTTTGGCATGTATCTGTTGGCCTTTAGAAATAAATCCAAAAACGAAACTTCAAGGATAATCAAATAAAACAACAATGCTATTTCCTTTAGTTACGTCATACGATCTTTGGGTTATGCTTAAACAAGAATTATGAAAACCCTTCACAAAATACAGAAACTATGACTGCTTTTTGTCATTTTTTTACAAACTAATCTCATGTCACTTTTTTACTCAAGGTAACATACTTAAAAAGTTAGTATTTACTCTGGTTAGTATGTAATATTCTTATATACTACTGATTTAAAATGATTTACAGGTAAGAAGACTGTTTACAACAAATATATTAGTTTATTCCTACAAGTTACAACAATAATTGGATACACTTTGTTTGTTCAATAAAAACATTTTCATTTCAAGTAAAGTAAGAAATTCTAAGACTTATTTCGTGTAGGTAAAACAGGTCTTTCTAAAAACCTGACGGAAGCAAGCCAAATACTGATCATACTGGTCATCATTGTATTGTAGTCATACATCAATGAATAACTTTACACAAACACGAAAAGGTTTTATGTATCTAACACTTTTAGTTCATAGACAAATTTATCTATCTAATACATTGTGAGCTGATATATACAGTATCTATGAAACATAGCAATAACATTTTATATACAGTATAAGTAGTAAGTAAGAGACATTTAACTATACAGGACATACATTATTGTACACATAGATGCATAATCATATTTTACTAATTTTTAGCAAATTTAAGAAAAAAATGTAAAGATTTTAGGGATTTTAGGTAGCATTGGTTACACAAGATAGCACTATGAAGCCTTTTTTGTGTCTAGAGTATAAATAAACAATTGTAAATTAAACCCAATCTGACATTTTATTTGTATTATGATTTTAATTGAAATATTTGAATTACTGTAAAGAATAAAATTTTTAAGAGGAAATAAATAACAAATAATCACTTTCAGGTATATAAGATAATGTTAATTGATTAAGATAAAGTGTTATTAAATTATTGTCTGTGATAATCACAACTAGACAGATTTGCAGAACTAATTGGAAAAGATGGTTGAAATCATCCTCTTTTCCAGGTACCTTCAGAAACATTTCCAATACCTGGTCTCTTGGATGGTCTATTTGGCTCAAAATCAAATACTTCTCCGGACCCAGCTACTACTACAACACCAGCACCTACAACTACTACTGCACCAACATCCAGACCTTCCAAAGGACTTTTGGGAGGATTAGGAAGTGCCTTAGGTGGGTTCCTTTTTGGAACTGGGGATTCAACAGAATCTTCAGATGCCTCACCACCAACTACTATTCAACCAACCCCAAGTCCAACAGTACCCAGCTCCACTCAAACACCCACACAAAAGAGCTCTCGTGGTTTACTGGGTGGTCTAGGAAGTGCCCTTGGTGGATTTCTATTTGGTACATCAGACGAAAGTTCCTCAAACGAGACAAACGAAGAAGAATCAGCATCCTCTGAAGAAGAAGCCTCAACTGATTCAGAGGGAAAGGCAAGTGATGTAGGTCCTGGAGCATCAGCATCATCAGAAGGAGGTGCATCTGGGGAGGCTGAGAGTAAAGCAAGTGATACCAGTGCAGGAGCATCAGCATCAACAGAAGGAGGTGCCTCTGAGGCAGAGAGTAAAGCAAGTGATACAGATGCAGGAGCATCGACATCAACAGAAGGAGGTGCATCTGGGGAGGCTGAGAGTAAGGCAAGTGATACCAGTGCAGGAGCATCAGCACCAATAGAAGGAGGTGCCTCTGAGGCAGAGAGTAAAGCAAGTGATAACAGTGCAGGAGCATCAGCATCAACAGAAGGAGGTGCCTCTGAGGCAGAGAGTAAAGCAAGTGATACAGGTGCAGGAGCATCGACATCAACAGAAGGAGGGGCCTCTGAGGCGGAGAGTAAATCAAGTGATACCAGTGGAGAAGCATCAGCATCAACAGAAGGAGGTGCCTCTGATTCAGAAAGTAAAGCAAGCGATACCAGTGCAGGAGCATCGACATCAACAGAAGGAGGGGCCTCTGAGGTGGAGAGTAAATCAAGTGATACCAGTGGAGAAGCATCAGCATCAACAGAAGGAGGTGCCTCTGATTCAGAAAGTAAAGCAAGTGATACCAGTGCAGGAGTATCAGCAACAACAGAAGGAGATGCATCTGGGGAAGCTGAAAGTAAAGCAAGTGATACAGGTGCCGAAGCATCAGCCTCAACAGAAGAAGGTTCCTCTGAGGCAGAGAGTAAGGCAAGTGATACCAGTGCAGGAGCATCAGGATCAACAGAAGGAGGTGCATCTGAGGCAGACAGTAAAGCATGTGATTCCAGTGCAGGAACATCAGCATCAACAGAAGGAGGTGCCTCTGAGGCTGAAAGTAAAGCAAGTGAGACAGGTGCAGGATCATCAGAATTAACAGAAGGAGTTGCCTCTGAGGCAGAGAGTAAGGCAAGTGATGCCGGTGCAGGAGCAACAGCATCAACAGATGGAGTTGCCTCCGAGGCAGAGAGTAAGGCAAGTAAGACAAGTGCAGGAGCATCAGGATCAACAGAAGGTGGTGCATCTGAGGCTGAGAGTAAGGCAAGTGATACCAGTGAAGGAGCATCAGCATCAACAGAAGGAGGTGCCTCTGAGGCAGAGAGTAAGGCAAGCGAGACAGGTGCAGGAGCATCAGAATCAACACAAGGAGGTGCCTCTGAGGCAGAGAGTAAAGCAAGTGATAGCAATGAAGGAGCATCAGCATCAACAGAAGGAGTAGCTTCTGAGACAGATAGTAAGGCAAGTGATAGCAGTGCAGGAGCATCAGGATCAACAGAAGGAGGTGCATCTGAAGCAGAGAGTAAGGCAACTGAAACAGGTGCAGGAGAATCAGAATTAACAGAAGGACTTGCCTCTGAGGCAGAGAGTAAAGCAAGTGATACAAGTGCAGAAACATCAGTATCAACGGAAGGAGGTGCCTCTGAGGCTGAGAGTAAAGCAAGTGATACCAGTGCAGGAGCATCAGCATCAACAGAAGGAGGTGCCTCTGAGGCTGAGAGTAAAGCAAATGATACAGGTGCAGGAGCATCAACATCAACAGAAGGAGGTGCATCTGGAGAGGCTGAGAGTAAAGCAAGTGATACCAGTGCAGGGGCATCAGCATCAACAGAAGGAGGTGCCTCTGAGGCAGAGAGTGAAGCAAGTGATACAGGAGCAGGAGCATCGACATCAACAGAAGGAGGTGCATCTGGGGAAGCTGAGAGCAAAGCAAGTGATACCAGTGCAGGAGCCTCAGCATCAAATGAAGAAGGTGCCTCCGAGGCTGAGAGTAAAGCAAGTGAGACAGGTGCATTAGCATCAGCATCAACAGAAGGAGTTGCCTCTGAGGCAGAGAGTAAGGCAAGTGAGACAGGTGCAGGATCATCAGAGTCAACAGAAGGAGTTGCCTCTGAGGCAGAGAGTAAAGCAAGTGATACCAGTGCAGGAGCATCAGCATCAACAGAAGGAGGTGCCTCTGAGGCTGAGAGTAAAGCAAGTGATAAAGCTGTAGGAGTATCAGCAACAACAGAAGGAGATGCATCTGGGGAGGCTGAGAGTAAAGCAAGTGATACAGGTAAAGGAGCATCAGAATCAACAGAAGGAGTTGCCTCTGAGGCAGAGAGTAAGGCAAGTGATACTAGTGGAGAAGCTTCAGCATCAAGAGAAGGAGGGGCATCTGAGGCAGAAAGCAAAGCAAGTGATACCAGTGCAGGAGCATCAGCATCAACAGAAGGAGGTGCCACTGAGGCTAAGAGTAAAGCAAGTGATACAGGTGCAGGAGCGTCAGGATCAACAGAAGAAGGTGCATCTGAGGCAGAGAGTAAAGCAAGTGATACCAGTGCAGGAACATCAGCATCAACAGAAGGAGGTGCCACTGAGGCTGAGAGTAAAGCAAGTGAGTCAGGTAAAGGAGCATCAGAATCAACAGAAGGAGTTGCCTCTGAGGCAGAGAGTAAGGCAAGTGATACTAGTGGAGAAGCTTCAGCATCAATAGAAGGAGGGGCATCTGAGGCAGAAAGCAAAGCAAGTGATACCAGTGCAGGAGCATCAGCATCAACCAAAGAGGGTGCCTCTGAGGCAGAGAGTGGAGCAAGTGATACAGGTGCAGGAACATCAGTATCAACAGAAGGAGTTGCCTCTGATTCAGAGGGTAAAGCAAGTGACACTATTGACGACTCATCAGCATCAACAAAAGGAGGCGCCTCTGAAGCTAAGAATGAGGCAAGTGATACCAGTACAGGAGCATCAGGATCAACAGAAGGAGGTGCCTCTAAAGCTGAGAGTAAAGCAAGTGAGACAGGTAAAGGAGCATCAGAATCAACAGAAGGAGTTGCCTCTGAGGCAGAGAGTAAAGCAAGTGAGACAGGTGCAGGATCATCAGCATCAACTGAAGAAGGTGCTTTTGAGGCTGAGAGTAAATCAAGTGAGACAGGTGCAGGAGCATCAGCATCAACAGAAGGAGTTTCCTCTGAGGCAGAGAGTAAGGCAAGTGAGACAGGTGCAGGATCATCAGAGTCAACGGAAAGAGTTGCCTCTGAGGCAGACAGTAAAGCAAGTGAGACAGGTGCAGGATCATCAGCATCAACTGATGAAGGTGCCTCTGAGGCTGAGAGTAAAGCAAGTGAGACAGGTACAGGATCATCAGCATCAACAGAGAAAGGTTCCTCTGAGGCAGAGAGTAAGGCAAGTGATACCAGTGCAGGAGCATCCGGATCAACAGAAGGAGGTGCATCTGAGGCTGAGAGTAAGGCAAGTGAGACAGGTGCAGGATCATCAGAATCAACAGAAGGAGGTGTCTCTGAGGCAGAGAGTAAGGCAAGTGAGACAGGTGCAGGAGCATCAGAATCAACAGAAGGAGGTGCCTCTGAGGCAGAGAGTAAGGCAAGTGATACCAGTGAAGGAGCATCAGGATCAAGAGAAGGAGGTGCATCTGAGGCAGAGAGTAAAGCAAGTGATACCAGTGCTGAAACATCAGCATCAACAGAAGGAGCTGCCTCTGAGGCTGAGAGTAAGGCAAGTGATGCCGGTGCAGGAGCAAAACCATTAACAGATGGAGTTGCCTCTGAGGCAGAGAGTAAGGCAAGTAAGACAAGTGCAGGAGCATCAGGATCAACAGAAGGAGGTGCATCTGAGGCTGAGAGTAAAGCAAGTGATACCAGTGAAGGAGCATCAGCATCAACAGAAGGAGTAGCCTCTGAGGCAGAGAGTAAGGCAAGCGAGACAGGTGCAGGAGCATCAGAATCAACACAAGGAGATGCCTCTGAGGCAGAGAGTAAAGCAAGTGATACCAATGAAGGAGCATCAGCATCAACAGAAGGAGGTGCCTCTGAGGCAGAGAGTAAGGCAAGTGATGCTGGTGCAGGAGCATCAGCATCAACAGATGGAGGTGCCTCTGAGGCTGAGAGTAAAGCAAGTGATACCAGTGAAGGAGCATCAGCATCAACAGAAGGAGTAGCCTCTGAGGCAGAGAGTAAGGCAAGCGAGACAGGAGCAGGAGCATCAGAATCAACACAAGGAGGTGCCTCTGAGGCAGAGAGTAAAGCAAGTGATACCAATGAAGGAGCATCAGCATCAACAGAAGGAGGTGCCTCTGAGGCAGAGATTAAGGCAAGCGAGACAGGAGCAGGAGCATCAGAATCAACACAAGGAGGTGCCTCTGAGGCAGAGAGTAAAGCAAGTGATACCAATGAAGGAGCATCAGCATCAACAGAAGGAGGTGCCTCTGAGGCAGAGAGTAAAGCAAGTGATAGCAGTGCAGGAGCATCAGGATCAACAGAAGGAGGTGCATCTGAAGCAGAGAGTAAGGCAACTGAAACAGGTGCAGGAGAATCAGAATTAACAGAAGGAGTTGCCTCTGAGGCAGAGAGTAAGGCAAGTGATGCTGGTGCAGGAGCATCAGCATCAACAGATGGAGGTGCCTCTGTGGCAGAGAGTAAGGCAAGTGAGACAGGTGCAGGAGCATCAGAACCAACTGAAGGAGGTGCCTCTGAGGCAGAGAGTAAGACAAGTGTTGCCAGTGCAGGAGCACCGGCATCAACAGAAGGAGGTGCCTCTGTGGCAGAGAGTAAGGCAAGTGAGACAGGTGCAGGAGCATCAGAAACAACTGAAGGAGGTGCCTCTGAGGCAGAGAGTAAGACAAGTGTTGCCAGTGCAGGAGCATCAGCATCAACAGATGGAGGTGCCTCTGTGGCAGAGAGCAAGGCAAGTGAGACAGGTGCAGGAGCATCAGAAACAACTGAAGGAGGTGCCTCTGATTCAGAGAGTAAAGCAAGTGATACCAGTGCAGGAGCATCCGGATCAACAGAAGGAGGTGCATCTGAGGCAGAGAGTAAAGCAAGTGATACCAGTGCAGGAGCATTAGCAGCAACAGAAGGCGTTGGCTCTGAGGCAGTGAGTAAGGCAAGTGAGACAGGTGCAGGAGCAACAGAATCAACAGAAGGAGGCGCCTCTGAGACAGAGAGTAAAGCAAGTGATATAAGTGCAGGAGCACCAGCATCAACAGAAGGAGGTGCCTCTGAGGTAGACAATAAGGCAAGTGATGCCGGTGCAGGAGCAACAGCATCAACAGATGGAGGTGCCTCTGAGGCAGAGAGTAAGGCAAGTGAGACAGGTGCAGGAGCAACAGAATCAACAGAAGGAGGCGCCTCTGAGGCAGAGAGTAAAGCAAGTGATACAATCGCAGGAGCACCAGCATCAACAGAAGGAGGTGCCTCTGAGGTAGACAATAAGGCAAGTGATGCCGGTGCAGGAGCAACAGCATCAACAGATGGAGGTGCCTCTGAGGCAGAGAGTAAGGCAAGTGATACAGGTTCCGAAGCTTCCTTTTCAGCAGAAGAAGGTGCCTCTGAATCAGGGAGTAGTGGCATTTTATCTACTGAAGGAGAAAGTGTTAGTGCAGAAATAAGTAGTTCTGCACAGGATGATGCTGGTGGGTCTTCTTCCAATGATGGATCGGATCATGTAGAAGCAAAAGCAAGTGCTGAGGCAAGTGCAGGAGTGTCATCATCTGATGACGGAACTATTAATGTAAAATCAAGTGCTTCAGCACAGTCGTCTGCAGAAACTGCATCATCTGATGGTGAAAGTAGTCATTCAGAAGCAGCCGCTTCGGCCGAGTCCAGTGTGGAAGTTTCTGTTTCAAAAGACGGAAGTTTACATTCGGAAGCTAGCACATACGCCGAATCTAGTGCTTCAAGTACAGATAGTACTGGCCAAACAGACTCGAGCGCTTCTGCACAAACTACAACAGAAATAACAACCTCTAAAGATCATTCTGAAGTAAGCTCTTCTGCAGAATCTGGTACAGAATCGACTTCTCCTAAAGACGGAACTGACCTTAGCGAAGCAAGCAGTTCCACACAGTCAGGTTCAGGATTGTCATCATCTACAGCTGGAACTGATACAACAGAAGCAAGCAGTTCCACAGAGTCTGGTTCAGGAGTGTCATCATCTACAGCTGGAACTGATAAAGCAGAAGCAAGTAGTTCCTCAGACTTAGGTTCAGGAGTGTCATCATCTACAGCTGGAACTGATAAAGCAGAAGCAAGCAGTTCCGCAGAGTCTGGTTCAGGAATGTCATCATCTACAGCTGGAACTGATAAAACAGAAGCAAGCAGTTTTACAGAGTCTGGTTCAGGAGAGACATCTTCTGCAGCTGGTACTGATCATTCAGAAGCAGGCAGTTCCACAGAGTCTAGTTCAGGAGTATCATCATCTACAGCTGGAACTGATGAAACAGAAGCAAGCAGCCCGTCAGATTCTGGTACTGGAGCGTCAACCCCAGATTCAGATACCATAGGAAAAGTCTCAAATGATATCAATGACCAATCGACAGAAAATTCAGCAGGATCTACAGGGCCTGCAACCTCTTCAAGTAGTGGTTCAAGTAATGATATTGGTAGTTCTGAAAATAGCTCTAGTGTGGAAAGTGAACCAGAACAAGAAGAACATGACGATACAGAAACGGACACCAGTTCAGATAACGAGGGATCAGATTCCGACTCAGAATCAACAATTACCACAACAACTCAACGATCCGTTGCTGTTGCCTACACCACAACTCAATCCCCAAAAACAACTTCACGTCCCTCTACGACGACATTACGAACGACAACTAGAGCGACAACCAAACCGACAACAAAACCTACGAGCAAGAGCGCGAAGCGGCCAACAACTTTGTCCCCGTCCCAGAAATATACCGCTTTAGGAGCGAAAAAGGGATCTTCTTACTCAGAATGAGATTTAATATGATTTACAAGAGCCGGTTAACTCGATCTCGATATAATACCTCATAACTGTTACCTCAATATTCTATCATAAAAGTATGGCAGTATTGATAATAATGATATGTGTTCGTTTTTGTACCTTTTTTTGTAAACATTAGTTGTTTGTATCTCTGTAGGTGTTTGCCTTGTAGGAGGGAATCATTCATTTAATCATTAAATTTGTTCAACACTGAAACTATTGTCAAAGACAAGTTAGTACCTTACCCAGTTCTTTGAGGACATTTGCCACATTGTTCAATTTACAAACATTCCACATAGGTAGTTTTTCCAACACACTGTACATTATAACATATTTCTAGTCTTAGTTGTATAACTTTAGATTTTAGGGTGTATTTTTTAATTTATGAAACTATTCGTATATTGTACTCCAATTTTAAAGAATAAATTTTGTATGTTTGTTACGTTTATTTGATGAGCTGTCTATTTTTCGTCACACTTTATTTACCAATAAATAGTTGTTGTAGCCAAACACACATACTATTGTAAACATCCATATTTTGCCAATTTTCAAACTAGATCTTGAAAAAACATTAACAAAACACCCTGAAGCGGATACATTTATAGTGTTGATTGCATTCTGTCACTCATAGGTATACTACGACTAAGTTTAATTCTTTTTTAATATTTTCGTTTTCAAGAGGAGTCGCACACCAAATGAAATTACATAAAACTCAATAATGACATATGCCACCTACATACTGAACGCTTTTTACTCAAAATATCCAATTTAACTTTTGAAAATGTTACCTACCCTACACTTATTACGTATTTTACTACAGTTACCACAAAAACTGTAATTTATTTTTCCCTATGAACATAAATGCAGCTTTGAGAATTTTTTTTATCAAGCAAAAACAAAACTTGTATTTTTTTCAGGAATATACAAATTATACTGGACATGGAGCTAAGGGTAATTCTCATTTCATGATGAACCTGTATAATATCATCTCAATAATCCAACCATAAATTACTTTGGTGTCGATTATTTGTTTGGACATTGTGATTTGCAATCATTATTGTCTTAAACTACAAGTAATCTTTTTTTAGAAAGGATTACTTCTACAGTATTTATAATAGTCGTGAAACTTTGTGAGTAAACTGAAGTATACTTTAATACTAGTGGAACAAAGGAGCATATAAACTAAACATCCAAGATTTACATTGGTTAAGCAATACGTGTATTGATTGGATATGTTAGATATCATATATAATCGCTATTCTTCAATTCCCCATAGGGTTCTACCTGTATAATCTCTCCCTGTATAATTCTTCATGTAAAATGTACAATGATATTTTTATATACATTCAGTTAATTCGATCACCTGATTATATTGACTGATTTTCCTGACATGAAATAATTAAGTTTTAATACTAATAAGTAACTATTAATTGGTAATTGGAACATCTGTGTCGGTTTACTCAAAGCTTTTCTGAAGAACTAAGTCTTCTCCTTATGTATTTTTTTTGTAGATATTTACGTTATGCACGAAAATTAGTAAGATTTTAGCTGAAAACAGTAAATGGTATGCAGCATTAATTAATATGCAGCATTAGCAATCGTAGAACACAAAATGAAACAGGCTGGATAAAAAATTATCATAAGTAATTTGTGAGAAAGTATTTTGTTGCTCACATTGTTATCCTAAAGTATTTATTAACTATACAATTTCTTTCGTTTGCCTCATTTTAGCCAACCTTCCCCAGTTATTCAAGCACAAACTGAGGTATTCTTTATTACTAGTGGAACAAAGAAACTGTAATACATTATTTGTTTTAGTAAAATATCAACACCGACTTTGTCTTAACATCCATTTCTCTCATTGCTGAACCGTTTGAAGTCGTTCAACGTGCAGAAAGAATCCCTGTCATCTGAGAGAATACATTTCTAAATATTTTTCTCTTTGTATTTCTCACTCAAAGACTGGTATGTCATGCGTTCCACAAACTACAGACGACATTGCAATTCCGCTTGTGAAAAATGCTCTTACGTTTCTAACAAGATTTTGTCAATAGTTTAGTTTCCAATCTGTGTAAAACGTTTTTATAAACATTCATTTTGAATTTAATGTACTGTAAATCTTCACGTATTAACTATGAAATCATTTACGTAATTACATCCTCCATGAATGAGTTTTGAGCCAATTAGCAACTAAAACCAGTAGGGAACAAAAACATCAATCGAAGAGATGCATGTATGGGGAATTCTGTCAAATCAGGAATTTGGTTGGCCTGGACCCGTTGTAACATCACAAAACATTAAGAAATTTTAAAATAATTGATAAAAGTACAGGGATGAGTCAAATTAAGTGACTTTTTCAGCTAAGAGATAACGAATTTAAGTTGTTCATTAATATTTTGTTATTAATATTCAATGGCAACACACTGTAATATCATAAAATGTGTGGATATTGACAATAACTGAAATGGCTAATATGCTGTAAGTTGACAACCATAGAACAGAGACACCAGAATGTTAATCATAATATTTATCGTAACCATCATACTATATTGTACATTTATTATACTATGATAATAAAATATTCCTGAATTGAAACACAGCAAATGGTAATATAATAACCTTATAATACTATACATTGGTTTTGAACATTTATAATCCACCTTTATGCTTCTGTTATTTAGGAAATCGTTGCAGCCATTTTCCATCACAATAAGTAAACTATTGAGTTTCCACAAAGTTTCGTGATCTGAAGTCTGATTTTGTACTCAGCTGAAAAAATACCATAACATAACAACATTATAACGCACACGTAGCCAAAGCTGAAAAATCACAATTTACAAGAAAACCCAAACAGAGAACTATATTTTGAAACGTAAAGAACTCTTTGTATTTTAATAATCGTGATAGGAAATTTATGCAATGATTTACTATATAACATAAAATCACCATTGCCAAAAATGAACTTCAAACAAAGAAATAATGCTCTTTTTACAAGTTTTGCTGAAACACTTAACAAAATCATTTGAGACTAAAACCTTTTCTTTAAGATTCTTTTCTGCCTTTTTTCTCTAGTTGAGGAAGGTCATAAAATTAAAATTTTATTTTAGGTGAATGAACAATTTTTTTTTAAGTTGGTTCAAAAATTGAATGAATTTATTAAAACTATTCTTTTAAATTCACCGGAAAGTGTAGAAGAGACTTATTATTTTGTTCATTATTTCTACAACTTAAACAATATTTTTGGAGGTAAAAATATGTTTTTATATTGTAACCCCTGATGAGGGACAGTCCTTCTTAAAGCAGACAACTATCCAATTAAGCGTAGAAAACAACCCATAAAAATGTTTAAACTACAAAACAGCGATTATTCAAACACCGTGGTGTTTGTTTAATGAAACAGAAATTTCAACCTGTTTTCAAATACAAATACAAATTTTCAAGTCAGTTCCCCATTGTCAGCTATATACATACTGCTAATGAAATAAAATGGAGCAATAGTTTATCATAAACACCACATAAAACATATTTTTTATGCCTAATACCAAAAGAATAATTCTTGTGACATGAGTGGTCAGATTCACATCACGAAATTCGTAGAGGTTGAAGAAAAAGAAGACTGAAGAGAGTCCAGATTCCCCGCAGCCACAGCAATCTTCATGTCCACTCGAATATCAAGGATTACATGATCAGGGCTGTCCAGGGCATTAAGGCTGTCCAGGGCATTAAAATAAACCATAGTAGATGATTGTTAAGTACAGAGGTGGTCAGGAAGGGTTGATGGGTGCACCATGAAGAGAGTCATGATGGAAGTAGTAAAGGCATTATGTCTGGAGCATGAAATGTGTCCAGGTCATTAAAATAAACCATAGTAGATGATTGTTAAGTACAAAGGTGGTCAGGAAAAGTTGATGGGTGTTGTTATCATTTTTAACCAGAATTGTTCAGGCGGTTTAGATTACCTATATTTCAATGATTTTAGTAATTTAAAGTTTCATAAGACTAATCTAAAAAAACGGACCTTTATTGCTTAACTACTTTGACCATATCTATTGTTTAGTATGACTACACTAAACAACAGAAAATGAACGGAAAATTCCCCAGAATAATGATCTTAATACAATTTGTTTAGATAAATATTTTACAAAGTCGCTAAAATACATTTACAAAAGTATTCAACCGATCCAAATAAAAAATTTGAAACGTACAGATCGTTAAATGCTAAGTTTAAATAAGCATGTGGAACAATTCTATTGTTAAAAATATGTTTAAAAAAGATGACAATGAAATATAATTGATAAGTTTGCCTGAATATACGGCAACACATCGTAATATAACTTTGATGAATCTTTGTAAAGCCTAAATCATCATGGTCTTTAAACTTACGAAATAATTCGTGCTCCAATATTTGAAAATAATTTATTTTCAACCCCAAGCTTTTCATAACCTACATTAAAACTCCAAATGTTTAGGTATGTTGGTACCTAAAGGTTAGAAATATCCTAAATTTGAAGGAAAATTATATCTATTCCGTTGATACTAATACTATGCTAGTTTTGGTCCACCCTGGGAGTACAGGGGGCTGCAAAGTTTCTTATACCTATTAATTTATAGACAAATTCATATATCAAGTGATTTTCAACCATGGAATTCATTGGATGTGTACATATCCTAATTTGTTGTGTTTATTCCTGAGGTCTAAAATGTAGGAGCCAACTTCAAAACTTCTTGTTGGAAATATTTATATGACAAGTTTACTGAATTTCTCCGTAAAAAGTTAAACATTCCCAACTCCAAAGGGTTGTACCGATTTAAGAAGTCCAATTTAGGATGTAGAAGTCGACTCTTACATTTTAATGAGAAGCTAGTTCATGGGACACAACCACGAATACTAGAAAAATACCGGTATGGATCATAAACAAAAACAAATGACGTTGTTGGACCGAATCCTATACTAACAGCATTGAACACATGTTTTGGCAGTTCCATTTAAGCAATGTTAAATAATGTTTATTTTCGGGGCAAAAACGTCATTTGTTTATGTTTATGCCGGTATTTTTCTAGTATTCGTGGACACAACAGTGTTTCGAACGCAATAATTTAAAAAGCTTGTACAGTTTTCAGGTTAATCTGTAGGTTTAAATGTATGACAGGACTTGAAATTTTCATAAGAAACTAGCGATGCGATTTGTCAAATAACCCTGCCTGTTTGTAATCCAGATAAACAACCCCAATTAAGATTCCTCAGTAAAAAATGGACCTATTGCTTAGTTTGAAGATCATCAAATCTTATCTTAAGAAATTTTGAAGTCGTCTTTTACATCTAAGACCTCAGGTAATTCCCTTGACATTTAAATTCCTACAGAAGTTAGAGTAGGCTA